CCCCCCCCCCCCGCCCCCCGCCGCCGATGAACTGTAGGACGTCGAGGAGGACTGGCCTTTGATGATCTACGACCACGCGGGCAACGACTACAACATCACCATGAAGCCGCGAGATTTGGTCCTGTACGAGAGCGCGACGTGCGTGCACGGCCGCCCGTCGACGTTCCACGGGAACTACTACGCGAACGCCTTTGTACACTACAAGCCCAAGGATCCGGAAAAGTGGTCCAAATTCATTGATTGATTGTAAGAACTTGGGTTGATTTCACAGCCCCCCAATAAACAATAACATAACTTTTGCATCCCTTTTTGATTGACTCGACGCACTATGGAACGAGAAGAGAAAGGTGCACCGCCCTGGCGGGAGGTGGGAGCGACTTGACGCCGGGTCTCCCGGTAGTATATTCTGCGGTGCCGTGCGTGAGCCCAACGCTGTAGTGGGTTCGTGGTGATGTTCGATAGCGTTGGAAATTAGAGTTGAAAAATGTGACGATGCGTTGCGTGCTACCCACCTTCGCAGCAGCATGCTGAGAGAGTTTGCGTGTGTGCGTCTTATATAGGACAGCTCTTATTGATGGATTGATGTGGTGTACGTTCATGAGAGACACCGCTCGCTGCGGCACTCTCTTCAACCACTATCCCGCATGTTTGCCTATCCTTTTTTACGGGTGTAGTCTACCACCGCCACTAGAAGGGGGGGGGAGGGAGGGGGGGGATCGGAAACTGCGGGTGGATGTGATGGTTTTTCCCCGGAAGTGTCGGTTCTTCGAAGCACCACCGCTGAGAGGGGGTTGGGCGGGAAGCTGCAGTTGATGAGGTGCTTAGGGTAAGGTGTGTCAGTCAGGGCGGGCGGGTTGTGTGAATCGTCTGTGTTGTTTTTGCCTTCAAATGGCGTGTCTTTGCTTCTTGCTTCGTTCATTCATCAATTCTTATTTTTTTTCTACTCTAATTGCCACCCCATCTTGGACAAGGCACGCGGCGACGGAAGTCAAACGAATGAGGATGCAGCAGCACGCCGCCCATGTACCTAGTCCGCAACCGCAAATTGATGATGAGTGTCTTTGTAAACTGAGACTGATTTGATTTGACACGTCGCTAATGGAGAGCTGTGAACGGAGCCGGCGATCAGACGGGAACGACGGAGCTGACCCTTACCACTACAACTCCCGAGCGAGCGATAGACGATGAACACCGCGCGTTTAGGGGGGAAGGCACGCCCGGCTTTTCATCGCACCCTCCCACTTGTGAATAAAAAAAATATATATATATATATACATTGTGGCTTGCGGTGACAGGACTTTTTCCCAGGGTTTCCAGAACAAGTCTCCCTCTTTGCTTACTACGGCGCACCGTCCTGAAAATAAATATCACCTGACTCCCGGCCTCGCTCATCGCTTAGCTTAAAACGCGTGAGAAAAAGTTATTAGGCACCGACGACTTTTTTTTCTCAAAACGCTGTGCAACGGTACCGGACTCGTCGGTGGCTACAACGGAAGGGAGGGGAGGTGAATGGTTTCTTCGCGTGTTTCAATGGCCTCGGGGGTCTCTATCGTCTCAAAACGCGGTACAAGGGTACCAACCGGACTTGGTAGTCACAAACGGAATGGACAAAGGGAGGTACAGAAAATAACCGAGGACGCCGGAATGGGTTCTTCGAGTTTAGACGCCCACCAGGAGGGTCTCTCTCAATACCCGAATCAACCGAGAGACGCCAGATGAACGTACGCAGAAGGACGGCGTACGCAGAGGGACGGATTGTTTTGACACGGAGCGGAGCCATACGAGACCACCTTGGGCAAAGCAGGCTGGCAGACAACAGTAGCACAAGATGCTTTCAATTGCACCACTTTCTTCAGCAGAATCACTCCCGCTCGTCCGCTGCCAACCGGTACGCCTGTCTGTCACTCTCTGGACCGCACCTGTGGTACCCACAAACTCGCACATTTTTTTCATCGTTGCCGCCACTGCTGTCGACACAACAACAGCAGCCCGGTGCGATTTCGCACGCATCAAGATGAGTTACCGAAACCCATCCATCAAAAACGCTCCCATTATTTTTCCCCTCCCTCGACGACCCGCAGGGCCACAAAGACTCGGTATTCCGTTCCTTCCTGGTTTCCACGTCTTCTTTCTGCCTGTCGAAAAATCAGAAACAGAGCAGCAGACAAACCAACAAGCAACCCCGGCATCTATCCGACCGTCGCGGCTCGACAGCCAAACGACAGAGGTTCCAGCCGCAACAAAGGGGTACGACGAGGCTGGACCCCCCCCACCAATCTCGATGATGTTCTTCTTGTCAGATATTGCCATTGCCATGCCAGCTTCTACTACGTGGACTAGTAGTCCATAGACCAAGCCAGGCCAACAGCTTAACTCGGCGGTCACGACATGCCGGAACTACAATACTAATTGCTGCAGCGGTTGCCAACTTTCCCTAAGCGTGAAAACCACAACCGCTACCGCTGCCTAGAACAACCACTACGATCAACAGCGCCGCCCGCCAAAGACAATGAAAAGGCATATGTCGCCGTTCATGAAAATGCAAGACCC